CCATTGCGCCAGTCCGAAAAAGGCTTAAAGATTCCTGCCCATCGCAGTTCAAAGAAGCGGAAAACGAGGGAAAGCAACCGGAACTCAAAAGTTTCCAGCAAAAAAATCGCTATATTTGTTTGGCTAATATCTCTTAGCCAGACGTGCTGTGAACACCATATGGTGATCAGCTGGACTGACGAGGGATAGCTCGCCTAGGTTGGAGGCGCAGAGCAATCCGTTCTTGTATGTGTTCGAAGGAGTACGCGTATGCATAATGGGATTAGATGCATCACTGATAGGAGGAAAACGACAGCTGCACCACAAACGAGCAGCCATTTTAGAAGTAAAGGATTGATGTGGGTAGGGTAATCCTTGATAGGATGGGTTGGGATGGGTATCTTTTGGTAGGGAAAAGAACTTGACAGGTTTACATGGATATCTTCTATATTGGAATTCCTAATTCCACATACCCTTCGTATAAGGAAATCTGTTGAATGAGAATACTTAGAATAGCTTTGCGACAAAAATTTGGAGTGGAAGAAACAGGATCTGAGGTTTCTTATCGATTTTGCGATATGCCACTTCCCTATAGTTTCGTAACTTTTTTCCTCGAAATTACCTTTTTCGATTATTTTGGAAGAATCTACCCTGCAAATCTTGACCTCTGCGTTTACTCTCAAGCAACTTCTCAAGCACTTCTTCTACCCATACGTGCCTCTTCTCGGACATCTACGTCGACTTATCGAGGCTATGACTCAAAGCAAAATTTGATTTGCGCCACTGAGTGGATATATCCATCGGATTGCAATCGAGCGCTCCCATACGCTCGGGATCATAACTAAAGCTGTAGTGTAGTCAAAGAGCGTAGAGTCCCAAGAGGAGAAAGCTGGATTTTTTTTCTGCGAAAGTTAACGACTGGAAAGGTCAACCACATTTTGTGTTAGTCCTTTTTTGCTGGCATGGTTTATGGTGGTGACATTCTCTCGGCAGCATTTTTGAATGGGATCTGCAGCGAAAATGACCAACAATCGTCGCATGACGGGGTTTCATTAACGAAAAGGGTGACAATTTGACGCTGGATAGTGGAGAAATGAGGGCGAATTTCATCCGGATTTGGACGAGGCCAGAAAGGAAAAGAATGAATATTGGCTTTTCTAGGTATTTCTCACCATCTTTTCAAGAACTTCCAAAATTTTGGATGTGTTCTTTCCCTATTTTGAACAATAGTGCTAGTTTTAGTTTAGAGAAAAAGTTCTGAAGCAGATCTCATCATTGCGCTTATTATTTATCACCAATATATGTTCCATTAATCGTTACAAAAATTTATGAATTCAACCTACAGTATCCAAAAATCTTCTAAAAGCGTGAAATCGAAAAGATTACGATTGATTTATAATGGGGAAATTCTATCTTACACACTCCATCAAGCTAATCTCAGCGTAGTCAA